TGGGGAGGGCCCTGGGTAGACGGAGAAGCCGGAAACAGCGGGCTGGGGCAGCTACTGCTTATCCTGAAGAGGAAGGACGAGACAGACTGTGTGTGTGTGTGTGTGTGTGTGTGTGTGTGTGTGTGTGTGTGTGTTTCTCTTAGTGGTAGTGGTGGCAGGGGCTACTGGCAGGGCCGACCGTCATCTTGGACTGGACTGCAGACCTATGGGGCCTGGCAGTGCCCGCTGAGAGGGCGAAGACAGCAGAGGGCTTGGCAAGGTGAGGGATGCCTGCAAGGATTGAGGGTGGGAGGTGGTGGGCCTCGGGCTAGGAGTTGAGGAGGTAAAGGAACCCTTCCTGGATGGGGTGGATAGTCCTCCAGAAATTGGTAGCTGGTAGTACTGGGTTTGGGCAAGTTTTGACCACTCGAGATAAATTACAGTGGGTACGCCGGGCCCCAGCACCCCCTTACCCTCCACCCTCACCATGGCTACGGGTCACTTTCTTCACACCCCACCTTGGCCTCTCCAGGAGGTGGAAACAGGGAAAGGAGGTGCCTCTCTGCCATGAGACTATGTGGCTGCCCCTCCCTAGGGGGTTGATCCAGGGGCCGGGGCAGATTCCCCGGTAAGCTTGAGTTTACTCGTGCTTACTTACTGATCGGTAGTGAACCGCTCTTCATGTTTTTCACCGACTAGTGAGTCTGTCAAAGTAAGCCCGTGCTTGTTCCCCTACCGGGTATACTTTTCATGACCGGGGGTGTCAATCCGTGGAGGCTTTGATGCTGCCGGAAGGGGCCGTGAGGCTGGGAGAGAGACAGATGCCAGCCAGCCCCAGAAGCAGACTGTTTGCGTGTGGTGAGAGGGAAAAAAAAGTGGAATGGCTCACTACAGATTAGTAAGTACCAGTAAGCCTGTGCTTATTGGGTAATGGGCCAGAGGGCGGTGGGGTCCCAGTGCTGACCCCCATAATGGTTCCTGTTCCAGGGTGTGGCTTGTCTGTGAGCCTCAGAGGGCGACCTCATGGTGTCCCAGTGGAGGGGGGATTTCCCCCTCAAAACTGATGGGCGCTCTTGCTCTGGCAGGGCTGCTGGAGCCAGAGGCCAAGGCTCAGCCTAGTTTTAACCCTCCTGGTGCTGAACTGGCTCTGCCTCCCCTCCTCCTCGCTCCCCCTCCCCCGAAAACACACATTGGGCAACTCTGAGAAGCGATTTTGACCTTTGCTCCTGTGGTCACACAGTCTGAGGATATAGGGGTTGAGTGATCTCTGGTTTAGGCCACAAATCTGGGGCGCATAAGAATCCTGGACATGGGGCTTCCCTTCCCGGTTTGGGAGGGACACTGGCCCCACCCCTCCCCCTCGTGGCTCCTCCCTCCCACCCCTTCCTCCACGTCTCCCTTCAGAGGATTCTAAGCAAGAAATTGCCCCTTCCAGTCTAGGCCAAAGGACCTGGCCAGGAGATCTGGGTTCTGGGGTGGGTGTTACCCAGTGGGGGTTGGAGAGTGGGGCTTCCAGATGGCTGGGAGGGCCTGGGAAGAACTGAAGGAGGGTCCGGTCAGGAGGCTGCTCATACCACGAGGAGATACAGAGGAAAGGGGCGTAGCCTTTGCCTATGGTGTGGGGCTCACCCCAGCCCCCAGTAGGGTAAGTGTGGGGAGGCAAGGTCTCTGGACTGTCCCAGGGGTAGGTGGGAGGAGCAGAGGGAAGGGGAGGGATGGGGGCCTGCCTTGAGTTTGAAACTGACCTCCCAGTTCTAACCCTGTGGGACCCTGAGCAGGGGTGGGGTGGGGCGGAGGGTTCTGCCTTTGGGTGACAAGAGCACCCTAGGAATAGTAAGTGGGAAGAGGGGCAGAGGGTCTCAGAACTGAGTCTCCAGGGAAGGAGACTCGCCCTTTGGGAGTCTTGGGAGAGGAGCTAGGCTGAAAAACATGCAATAGAAGGACTGAGGTTCTGGGCTCCTGGGGAGACTCCAGGTGTTCCTGCCCCCTCCTCACCTCATCTCTGTAACAGAGGCACTGTGTGAGAAACTTGCATCGGGAGACTGCTGGGAAACCACTGGTCCCCACCACCCTGCAGTCCACACAGCCCTCACCCTTCCGTCCACCCCTATGGACGTCCTCCCTCATTGCTTCTCTCCTGTCCGCCGGCTAGCTCCCTCTTACCAACTCTCTCCTTCTCTGGTTTATTAATCTCACTTCTCTGGTTTTTCTTGCCCTCTTCCTTAGTCCACCTCTCCACTGTCCCTCCCTGTGCCCTCCATCCCCCCTCCGAATAGCATGAGGGATGTGGAAGGCATCCTGACCCAAGCTCCTAGAGTGGTGACTGAGGCTCAGGAATTGGTCAGCCTTGGGTTCAAATTCTGCCATTGGAGCATACTAGCTGAGCAGTCTTAGACAACGAGTTAGACCCTCTCTGGCCTCAGTTTCTTCATCTGTAAAAAGAGATAATTCTATGGTTGGTTGGTTTTAATTGTTAAGAAACTCTAAAGAGAAAATGCACTTAATGCAATTCTCCATATATCATGTTTAATAAATGGTAGCTATTATCACTCGATAGCAGCGAGTTTGAGTATTATCACTACTGATGGAGCCCTGGTGGCTTAGTGGTGACACGTTGGTCAGCAGTTTGAAACCACCAACTACCCCTTGGAAGAAAGATGAGGCTTTCTCCCCCTGTAAAGAGTTACCGTTTGGGAAACCCACAGGGGCAGTCCTACCCTGTCCTGCAGGATCACTGGGAGTGACCATCAGTTAGATGACAGGGAACTATTGAATTATTATCACTCTGGGCACATTGGTTGTTCGAATGCCCCAATTCTCACCTTTCATACCAGAGACCCTAAGGTGCCCGGGTGGGGTAACGTCTAACTGTCCGACTGCTAACTGAAAGGATGCGTGCGGGCCCAGGGATCTGCTTCCATAAGGATGATAGCCTAGGAAGTCCTCTAAAAACAAAAGGAAACAAAAACCCCTCACACCATCATGTCCCTGCCGACTCCTAGCCACCCAGTAGGACAGGGTAGGACAGCCCCGGTGAGTTTCTGAGACTGTAACTGTTTACGGGACTAGCAAGCCCCGTCTTTCTCCTAGGAAATCCTACGTACGGGACAGTTATATGCTCCGTGCGTTGGTATCATCTCAACAACACACAGAAATAGGTCAGACACCCAGGTTCAGCTCCTGGCTTGCATGTGACAGTGGTGCTCACAGGTTTCAGTGGGCTTTATCAACTAAGACAGGCTGGGAAGAACGGCCTTGAAAGGTGCTCTGCTTCTAAAACTCAGCCAAGAGCAGTCCTGTGGGTTTGCTCCTGGTGTTTAGTTCCTTTGTGCATGGGGGCCGCCATGAGTTGAGGGCGGATTCAACAGCAGCCAATAACAAAGGCTTTATCACTCTTCTGTCTCACCGTCTAGCCTGGTGGTTTTCAAACTCTCTTGGAGCCTAGGGAATCTGAGGGAGTTTTCCAGGGGGATCATTGTCCACTGCTTTCAAATTTTTGTAGGAGCCCTGGTGGCTTAGTGGTTACATGTTGGGCTGTGATCAACAAGATCAGCAGTTCAAAACCACCAGCCGCTCCAGGGGAGACAGACAGGGCTCTTTCTACTCCGGTAAACAGTTACAGTCTCAGAATCTCACAGGGACAGTTCTACCCTGCCCTCTAGGGTCACTGTGAGTCAGCATGGACTCAATGGCAGTGAGTTTGGTTTCGGGTTTCTTTAAAAGTTTGGAAAGTGCAGCCCTCACCCAACCCTCGGCTTTTGTCTTCAGGACCAGAGCCAGGTCTGCAGCGGGAATCACCACTTCCTCTGTTTTCTCTGGGAGAGTCCTTTCCTGATGCCCTGACCCCCTTTGCTAACCCCAGCTCTCCCCACTCTCACCCCCATCCCCAGCCCTGCCACGGCCCCTGTGAGCCCCATTGGAGGTGCTACTGAGTCTCAGCATTGACCCAGGATGTGTCTGGTTTTCAAACGGGCTGGGAGTAGCAGTGGCAATGAACTCTGGGAGATGTCCCTGGCTGCTCCCTGGAGACACCTCTCGGAATAGCGTTGCTTCTCTCCCCAGGCACCTCCAACCTCCTCAATCATGTCATTATGGGGTCTGGTCTCCAAGATACCCCCAGAAAATCTGCAGCGGCTCTATATCGACTTTCCCCAACGCCTTCGGCATCTCCTGGGTGACTGGCTGGAGAACCAGCCCTGGTGAGTTCCCCAGGTCCTCCCTGGCCCTCCCTTCTCAGTGGGCTCTCTCCCTTCACCTGTGCAATTCAGGATCTGGGACCCATTCTTCCACATGTAGGAGCCCAGGTGGTGCTGTCGGGGAAGCGCTGCACTGCTAACTGCAAGGTTGAGGGTTCAAACCCACCAGCCGCTTTTTGGGAGAAAGATGAGGCTGTCTGCTCAGGAAAAGGTTTACAAAGCCAAGGAATGCCTACATAGGGTTGCTAGGAGTTGATGTCAGGGGGCTTGAAATGTAGAGGGCAGTCTGGCCCCTGGAGACCAGACTACACTTGTGGAAAAGTGGAGCCCTGACCCACTCGGGAGGCCGAGGCAGAGAGGAGGGGGGAAGGCCTGGGACAAGGGCCCATGGCACAATGGCTACAAAATGGAGAGCAAGGGAGAGGGGGTTGCAAGGACTTGGCTGCAGAGGGCTGGATGGAGAACAGGAAGGGAAAGGAGCCTCTGAGCTATGGACTGAGGAAGGGGTGGTGGGGAGGAGGGTGCTACCCCCAGCTGGGAAAGCCCTGACCTCCAGGCAGGCAGGGAGCCTCAGCCTAATCTTTCTGCAGGGAGTTTCTGGTCGGATCTGATGCTTTCTGCTGCAACCTGGCCAGCGCCCTCCTCTCAGCCACTGTCCAACGCCTGAAGGCGGCAGCTAGGGAGCAGGGGGAGGGAAGCACCTTCTTGCAGCACATCAGCAACCTGGAGGTAGGGGCAGGCTGGTGGGGGGCAGGCTGGGCCAGGTGGGTGGAGCTGGGGCAAGCACTGGACACTGGATAAAAATTGGTGTTTCTGTGGTTGGCTGTCTGCTAGCATGCAAATTAGATTTGACAAGCATGCAAATGCATGAAAACGTGTGGCATCTACAGTTATGTCTTCTTTTCTGGTGTGTGTGTGTGTGTGTGTGTGTGTGTGTGTGTAAGAATGGGGAGATGGGGGGTACCTGGTGTGAAGAAGGACTTGGGTGAAAGCGAGGCTACCCCTGCCCACTGCCCTCACCTCTGCAGAGCGTGTACCAGAGGGATCCCCTGAAGCTGGTGGCCACGTTCAGACAAATCCTTCAGGGAGAGAAGAAAGCTGCCATGGAACAGGTATGATAGTCTACCCCAATTCAAGCCCTGGCGGCTCATTGTCCTCAACCCAGGATGACCAAAGGAGGTCCCTGAGGGCAGAGTGAATCCCAAAGCAAATGCAGGGACATTTCAAATGTGGACCTAAGGGTACTAAGGGCCGAAGAGGACAGAGCGAAGGGTAAGTTGCTGATTCTGCCAGGAGTGGAGGGCTCTGATTTCCAGGGGATCCCCAACCATCAGGAAGAGTGGCCAAAGGGGAGAGGTGGGCCAGCCACACAGGAAGTGGTTGTGTGCTTTTCTGCAGAGCATGGCAGAGGGCACTCTTTGTGGGAGTAAAGGCTAGATGTTGAGGGATGGAGAGAGGGTCTCACCCCCTGGCCTCTGCCCCTCCTGTGCAGTTCCATCACCTGCCAATGCCTTTCCACTGGAAGCAGGAAGAACTCAAGTTTAACACAGCTCTGCAGAGGCTGCAGCACCTTGTGAGGGAGGCCCGCCTTCTCCGGGAAGCCCTGCAGCAGGGGGCTGAGGCTGGTAAAGGTAGGGGACCAGGGCCTGGAGCCGAGGAGAGTTCTGGGGAGAGTGTGGGGAGTGAGCCTGCCTTGAACCTCAGCCCTAACCGAACCTCCGCTCTATTTTCTCCCCTGGATTTCTGGCCGCCCCCCACCCCCACCCCAGTGCCTCTGCACAGCCTGATAAAGACTTCTGCCAATGGGTCTGGGCACAGGGAGGTGAGTAATGGACTGAGGGGTGAGGAGGACTGAGGAGGAACAGGCACGACCAGAGGGTCACTGAGGAGGCGTGGTGGCCCTGGATCAGGTCCCTCTCTGTCTGCAGGCCCTGCCCATGTTGCTGCAGGAGTCTGTCGGGGAGCTGGAGGTGACCCAGGCCCTGGTGCTGAAGAGGATCCAGATTTGGAAACGGCAGCAGCAGCTGGCAGGGAATGGGGCACCCTTTGAGGAGAGCCTGGCCCCACTACAGGAGAGGTTGGGGCAGGGCTGACGAGGGCTAGGGGAGGTGGGTGGGTAGGACCCCCAGGTGTGAGAAGCCAGGCAAAAGGACTAGAAGCAGGCAAAGACTCAGAGAAGTCCGTTCTGGCAGGAAGGCCCCGGTCTAGACATGCACACCTGACCAGGAGTTCCCATGGGGCTAAGCCAGCCCAGCCTTTTCTCGAGCAGCTTCGCACCCTGCCTTTTCTCAAGCAGCCTCGCACCCTGAAGAATGGGAGCCTTTTTCCTTTGCGCCTGTTGGGTGGGTGGTTGTAGGGTGCTGCCAAGTTGATGCCAACTCCCAGGGAGCCCAGGTGACCGCCTAAAGGGGTCTTCTTGATTATCATCGACCGGGAGATGGAGAGTCAGACCTTTCTCCCACGGGCCGGCTGGGTCGGTTCACACCCCTGACTTTTTAGTTCGAGGCCGAGGGGGGCTCCTTTTTTTGGGGGGGCACCTTCTGTTTTGCACAGAAGCACTGCACCAGGGGGCTTGAAAAAGCTCCTGGAGAAATGAAATGAAAAGAGAATGGAATTTTCCCACTAACTTTCAGAAGCCTGCTCACATGTGCCGGCAGCTGCCCTGGTACCCACTGAAACCCTGGTGAAGACAGGCCGCTGGGCTTTCCCAGGGGCCCTGGGCCCTGAGAATGAGCCGCCCAGATCAGGCCAGGTGTCTTCGTGGGTGTAGTGGGAGAGGGAGGGTCTGGGCTGGAGCAGGCAGCCCCTCTGACTTCTGTCATGGCCCCAGGTGTGAGAGCCTGGTGGACATCTATTCCCAGCTGCAGCAGGAGGTGGGGGCAGCCGGTGGGGAGCTGGAGGCCAAGACCCGGGCCTCGCTGCTCAGCAGGCTAGATGAAGTCCTGCGGACCCTGGTCACCAGGTATGTCCCAGCTCCCAGCCTGGCCTAGAGGGAAGGGGATGGAGGGGTTGTGGGGGAGGGGACCGGGAGGGAGCCAGCCCCTAACTCCCCTGGTCTTCTCCATCCTCACAGCTCTTTCCTGGTGGAGAAGCAGCCCCCCCAGGTTCTGAAGACTCAGACGAAGTTCCAAGCCGGGGTCTGGTTTCTGCTGGGCCTACGGTTCCTAGGGGCCCCAGCCAAGCCCCCACTGGTCAGGGCTGACATGGTGACTGAGAAGCAGGCGAGAGAGCTGAGCATGACCCAAGGGCACGGCACTGGAGTGTAAGGGCAGGCAGCCAACAGTTGGAGAATGCCTATTAGGGCGATGGAGGCTAGAGGGGCTAGCACCGTGCAGAGGGGGGCAATGGGGAGACCCTGAGTGTTCAAGGAAAAGCAGGGATCCACCCAGGGCCTGGATGAGGTGGCAGCCTCATGATTTGGTCCAGTTGGGATCGTCTCCCTTAAGAACCCAAGTTAGGGGGCTGGAGATTGGAGGCCAGTGACAGAGGGGGCTGGTCCATGCCATTCACCACACGTGCATGGGACACACGCTCCTCACACCTGGCTTACTCTGGCTCTGCCCCACAGAGAAAGCAGTGGGGAGATCATCAACAACTTGGTGCCCTTGGAGAACAGCCTTCCTGGGAACTGCTGTTCGGCCCTCTTCAAGAACCTGGTGAGGAGGACCTTCAGCCGGTGGGGGCGTTGGTCTCAGCCTAAGGCTCTCTCCTGGGCCCAGGAGCAGCTAGCTCTGCCCTCACCTCTACACTCCCCACCCGGCAGCTTTTGAAGAAAATCAAGCGGTGTGAGCGGAAGGGGACAGAGTCGGTCACGGAGGAGAAGTGCGCCGTGTTGTTCTCCACCAGCTTCACACTCGGCCCCAACAAGCTGCCCATCCAGCTCCAGGTGAACGGGCCCCAGCTCCTCCCCCACGCTGAGCTCCTAAATCCCCCCTTGCCCCTTGTCCCACATAGCTGGCATCCAGGCTCAAACCCCAGAGCCAGGAAGATGCCCTGGCAGCGATCCGCTTCCATTCAGAGATCAGCCAAAAATACCCTGCTCTACGGAGCGGTTCTCTGCAGTAATACTTGGGGTTGCTAGGCTTCAATACAGCGGCTTTTCTTCTTCTCCTGCTCCTCCTGCTCCTGCTCCTGCTCCTCCTCCTGCTCCTCCTCCTCCTCCTTCCAGGGTGAGCAGGGCGGAGCCCATGCACACACCTGGGACAAATGATCAATGGGAGCAACTTAAAACGCCTTTCGTAGACCAGGTCACTGTTTAAGCGATCTCTGCACCCTGGTGCTAGGAGCCCCGGTGGCATAGTGGTAACTCGCTGGGCCACGAACCGCAAGATCAGCCCTTTGAAACCACCAGTTGCTCCTTAGGAAAGCGAAGGAGGCACTCCTGTAAAGAGTTATGATGTTGGAAACCCACAGGGACAGTTCTGCCCTGTCCTATAGAGTTGCTGTGAGTCGGCGCTGACTCATGAGTTTGTGTTTGGGGCTGTTTTTTTTTTTGTTTGTTTTTTTTACACCCTGGTGACACAGTGGCTAAGCTCTCAGCTGCTAACCCAAAGGTTAGAGATTCAAACCCATCCAGAGGCTCCACAGGAAAAAGACCTGGGGATCTGTTCCCATGAGAATGACAGCCTAGAAAACCCTAAGGAACGCTTCTGCTCTGTCCCCTGACTCCATGACACCCAACACAAACAACACACACACTTCGGCTTTCACACTAGGTGTGGTTTCTAAATCACGGCACAGAGAGAGCAAGTAATGGATCCAAGGTGCTGCAGCTCTGCAGGGTAAGAGCTATTATTTGAAACCTGCAAGTCTGGCTCCCTGGTCTTGACTTCTCTACATTAAAACCCTAGTGGAGCCTCAGAAAGCTCTGAGTAACGTACCACAAGCTTTCAACTGTGTCCAGCAAGCCCAGTGACTGTCTACGCCCTCCGAGCCTGCCCCACAAGGAAACCTCTTACCCCAGTCAAAAGAACCCCCTCTCTTCATGCAGGCCCTGTCTTTGCCTCTGGTGGTCATCGTCCATGGTAACCAAGACAACAACGCCAAAGCCACCATCCTGTGGGACAATGCTTTCTCTGAGATGGTGAGGGGACAGGGCAGAGTGGGGTTAACATGGGGTGGGGCTCAGCCTGGAGAACAGTGGCATGGCAGGCAAGTGAGAATGACAATGACGTCACCTGATTTTCTCACAAAAGCTTTCATCCTCTGTCTTGAAGGTCACCTTGAAGATGCACCCTCTTTGTGAATGAGTGAGGGGAGGAATGAATGCTGGGAGGGTGGGGGTTGGGCAGGGATTGCTGAACTGCCCTCTTACCCCCAGGAGCGAGTGCCCTTTGTGGTGGCCGAACGGGTGCCCTGGGAGAAGATGTGTGAAACGCTGAACCTCAAGTTCATGGCTGAGGTGGGGACCAGCCGGGGGCTGCTCCCCGAACATTTCCTCTTCCTGGCCCAGAAGATCTTCAACGACAACAGCCTCAGCACGGAGGCCTTCCAGCACCGCTCCGTGTCCTGGTCACAGTTCAACAAGGTGGTTCTCTTACCCACCGTCGAGCCTCTCCTCAGGGCACCCAGCTCCCCCCACCCCTGGGGAGGATGACCGGAACTCCAACATGCCGGGCAGGAAGACCACTCAGGTCTGCGGCCCGCCCAGAGCTCAGGCTCGCTGGCATCCTTTAGATGTTTAGAGGTTCCCCCCTCTGTCCTTGTTCATCACCGATGGTTGACACGCATGCTTCTCCCAGAGCATGTCAACAGAGCTCTGATTCAACATGACTTTGGCCCACTGGGACATAGTTCATTTGGGGGCGAAATTCCCTAGGGACTGTGCAGTGATAATAGCTATGATGTGTTAACAGCTTACTGTCTGTCTACACTTGATGCGTGTCATCTCACTTAGCCTTCCAACATCATTTTGAGGCCGGTACTATTATTATCCTGTTTCATAAAGGAGGAGCCTGGCGCTCAAAGGGGTTACGTAGTTTATCCACAGCCATAGTCTCACATCAGGCCAGTGGCTGGGCTGCAATGGAAGCCCACATTTCAGACACCTGCTCTTAACTGCTGTCTTTGACTGGTGGCAATGCCAAGTCAGCACTGGACAGCTAACGGCAAGGTTGGTGGTTCAGGCTGACCAGCTGCTCCAAGGGAGAGAGATGAGGCTGTCTGCTCCCATCCAGAGGCACCGCTTCGGCATCTTGATATAAGGGCCATGACAAGTCAGAGTGGACTCAATGCCCACGGCTTGGCTACTCATTTATTTTGAAAATAAGGTGGCCCAGGTCTGGTTGGGCTATAAGAACGGGTGGGGGTGGGGGGTTAGAGAGCTGGGTGTGTTGGGGGCAACCAGCTGAGCAAATGACAGGCCACAGAGGAAGAAAGAGAAGCCGTGTAATCACAGGATGTGTTAGTCACAGGAACAGGGCATGCACTCAGCAAGTTGCCCTTCTCGGGCTGCCTCCTCGTCCGGCTTCCTGAGGGAGGCTGTATGCACAGTGGTTATGGGGAGGGGCCAGGCATGCCAGTGAAGACCCAGCCTGGGAGCAATCCCAGCTCAGCCTCTCACCAGCTCTGTGCATCTGGAAACGTGCCCTGACATCTCTGTGCTTTTTAGTAAGATGTGGCAGTTCCCATACCTACCCCCATAGGCTTGTAAAGGTCGGATCAATTAAGATGTGGAAAGCGCTCAGACGAATGCCCACAGGTCACAAGCATGAGTGTTCTTATTGATGGGCGTCAGGTTCAGTCTGGGGCTTCAACCCCTGACTCTGTGGCATGTGTACTCACAGCCCAGCGCCTGCCTCCCAGAGTTCCCTCTGCACATACCTTCCCTCCTTCCCATAGGAGATCCTGCTGGGCCGTGGCTTCACCTTCTGGCAGTGGTTCGATGGTGTCCTAGACCTCACCAAACGCTGTCTCCGGAGCTACTGGTCAGACAGGTAGGTTCCTGCCCCACGTGTACCTCCAGGTATCTCTCCACCCCCGGTGTCCCCACCCCCATGCTCTCCTTCATCCTGGCCAGGCTGATCATCGGCTTCATCAGCAAGCAGTATGTGACAAGCCTTCTTCTCAACGAGCCTGATGGGACTTTCCTCCTCCGCTTCAGTGATTCAGAGATTGGGGGCATCACAATTGCCCATGTCATCCGAGCCCAGGATGGTAAGGTCACCCCAGCCAGTCCCCTGCCCCTGAGCTTGAGCCCTCTGGGGTTTCTTCTTGGCAAGACATCTCCTGACTCTCCTTGATGCTGCACCCCTGACCTCCCAAAAATTCTCCTTTAGACCCAACTTCTCTTCATCCTTCTGCAACCTAGGCAGCTGTTTTCTCCCTGTGAGCTCTGCGGAAATAGACACTCATGGGGCTCCTTCCCGAAGGATGCCCATCCCAGGGACCTCTCTCCCTCACTGTGGCAGATGGAGCATGGGTCCTGTTAGGGGCAGGGTGGTGGTGGTGAGGGGAAGGACATCTGGAAAGAGGGTCTCAGTCTCATTCTCTTGCAGGCTCCCCACAGATAGAGAATATCCAGCCGTTCTCAGCAAAGGACCTATCCATCCGCTCCCTGGGGGACCGAATCCGGGACCTTGCTCAGCTGAAAAACCTCTATCCCAAGAAACCCAAGGATGAAGCTTTCCGGAGCCACTACAAGCGTGAGCTGGGGCTGACAGTGCAGCCTCCCCCCTGTCGCTGTCTCCTCCTATGCTCAGCTGCCCCATCTCCCCCTCCTCCGCCTGTCTTGTCACCCCCACTTTCCCTCCCCATCTTTCCGTAGCCCGCTGCTCCTAGCTGCCCATCATCGCCCTTCCTCACCAACTCCCACCCCTCCATGGCTCTCCTTTCCTCCCCACAACAGCGGAGCAGATGGGCAAGGATGGCAGGGGGTATGTCCCAGCCACCATCAAGATGACGGTGGAAAGGTGAGTGTGATGGTGGGTGAGTGGGGCAGGGAGCCTGGCACTGCTCTGCAGGAAGGGGTGGTGCCATGGACCCTTGGTCAGGTACCCGTGTCTCCCTCCCCCTTCCTAGGGACCAGCCACTGCCCACCCTGGACCCCCAGATGCCAGCCATGGTGCCCACCTATGATCTTGGCATGAGCTGTGATTCCCCTGCGAACACGCATTTGGGCTCAGGCATGGTGTAAGGAGCTTGACTAGTGGGGCTGGCCCGTGCAGGCGGCTTTCAGTGTAGGCAGCTGGGCGAGCTGGTTTTGTGGGCTGTAGCCGAGAGTTCTCCTTCCACAAGATGGGGCTGGGGGACCCAGAAGGACTGGCTCTAGAGGGTCTGCTTTCTCTCCCCAGGCCCCAGGGGTACCCACCACACTCTCATGCCATACCCTCCTATCAAGCGCTCTCTCCAGAGGAGTCCATCAATATGTTGCCAGCGTTTCAGGAGTAAGTCAGGGGTGGGAAGGATTCACTTGGAGGGGTGTGTGCCTTTGTGAGGAAGGGACAGCGGGTGCCATACCCCTTGGTGACCTCTTTTGCCCCCCACCCCACTCCCCCTTTTCCTTTCCAGTCAGGATGAAAAGTGCCTGGGTTTGAATTCTAGCTCTGCCATTTACAAACCCTGGGCCAATAAGGCCGGGAATTTGTGGCCTGGGAGGCTGTAAAGTGGGGGAGGGTAATGATGCTTACCTCACAGGATCACTGTGAAGGTTCCCTAGTGAATGCAGGCAAGGGTAAAGCCTTGTTAACAGCAGCTCCTCTCCTGATCTTGTCACATAGCTTCTGCCTTTGTATCTATTCCTGCTTGAGCTTGGAAGGGGCCGATCTTGTTCCGAAAGTCACACAAAGGCCTATGCACTCTGTGGTTGTGGTGGTTGTTGGGTTGAGACGCCCAGCGACCTCAGTGGCAGAGTGGAGCTGCCCCACGGGGCTCTCCAGGCTGCCGTCTTCGTGGAAGTAGATCCCCAGGTCTCTTCCCTGGCCAAACGCTCACCCTTGGGTCACCAGGGCTCCTTCGTTAACTGAGTCAGACCAGAACAGCTCCCCTCCCAGGAGGTGAGGTCAGGGGTGGGGGGACATTTTCAGTTTGCTAGTCCACCTCCCCCACCCCCCTCCACTCCGCCCCCACTTCACAGATGAGAAGATTGAGCTAAGTCTGGCACATGCTCACGGCCGTGCGGTGAGTGAACCGTGAAGTCAGGATATGGAGCCAGAACTTCTGTTTCCTCACTCAGTGGTCTTCACCTTGCCCTTGAAACACCCTTGCCCTTGGCCAGCCTTCCTTCCTCTGATGTGTCCTCCTCCTTCCTCCTTCTAGAACTCACCTGCAGGTGCCCCTCAGCCTGAGCCAGATGAGTCAGCCCTTTGACCAACCTCACCCCCAGTGAGTGACAAGCCTCCCACCGACCCTATACTTCCCATTCTTTCCCGACATCACCTTCTCACTTATCTCCTGTCCTGGCCTTGGCAGGGGCCTGCTGCCATGCCAGCCTCAGGAGCATGCTGTGCCCACCCCTGACTCACTGGTTTGCCCAGATGTGACCATGGCAGAAGACAGTTGCCTGAGCCAGCAGGTGGAAGGGTTCCCTCAGGGAACTTGGTGAGTGTGGGCATGGGGTGGCGGCTGGGTAGGGCAAGAGGTCGGACAACCTTGCCCATCCCACTATGTCTCCCCTCCTCCTTACAGGGTCAGCGAAGACATGTTCCCACCCTTGCTGCCTCCCACGGAACAGGACCTCACCAAGTTGCTCCTGGAGGGGCAAGGCGAGTCAGGGGGAGGGCCTCTGGGAGCCCAATCCCTCCTGCAGCCCTCCTCCTATGGGCAGTCTGGGATCTCAATGTCCCACCTGGACCTAAGGGCCAACCACAGTTGGTGATCCCAGCTGAAGGGGGAGCCCAGAGGCAGCTCTTATACCCGCCACAGACCTGCTCTGGACACCTGTCAGTGCTCCTGCCAAACAGCAGCTGGGGAGGCTACCCCCTACTTGCAGCTGGATTCTGGTCAGGAAGTGAAGACTTGGCTAGAAGGTAGAGCTGGCCCACTCCTTCCCTCCTACTCCTAGAAACACACCGCCCCTCCCACCGTCTTCCAGCCCAGGAAGGAAAGTCCAGGCTCCAAAGCGAGGCAGGCCCCGGCACACCCCACAGGCCTGCACAGACAGTGTATGCACGGCTCCCTACAGAAGCTGGGGTTGAGCCGGAGGGCAGTGGGGCGTGATCACAGGTTAGGGCACGGTGTACTCCTCTGCCCCTGCCAAGCCAGGGCCCAGGACACACATGCAGTAACACGCGGATGTGGACACCCAGTTGCACTAGTGTCTGCAGATGGAGTGGATGGGCCGGGAGACAGAGGCGGCAGCCCAGGGGTCCCTGGGTGGAAGGCCGAATGAGGTCTCTACAATTGATTCCTGATGTGGGGGTCTGCCCAAATTCAAAAACAAAAAACAAAGTCCCGAACACCCCAAACTCCTGCCAGTCAGATGGAAGCCATTGGTCACGTGTACGAGATTGTACAGAAGTCCACGGGCTGAGGTTCTTCATGTATAGCTGTGTGAAAGCATATGTATCCGAGACATGCTAATGTATAGATGTTAAACCTACGAACATGTGTCCATTTGATTTTGCCTGTGGGACAGCACCGATTTGGAGGCCAGAGAGGCTGCACATGAGATAGCAATGGTTATCTTGTGTGTGAATCCAAATCATGGCATCAACGTCTGCTTGTGGCTGCTTGGGGACTGATCCTGCCGGGAAGCAGGGGGCTGGCAAGAAGGGGTGGGCTGGACCCTACCTCCTCCTCCCCTTCTCCTTCCCCACTATGCCTCCGTCTGTTCCCTCAAGCCCAGGCTGCCCGTTCTCCCTCTTCTTGGGGGTGGGTGGGTCAGAGATCCTAAGCCATAAAATAAATTTTATTCCAAAATAACAAAATAAATAATCTACTGTACACAATCTGAAAAGAAAGATGCTCTAACTGCTCAGAGAGGTGCTGTGGTCCAGGCACCAGCTGGGGGAGACCCTGAGGCCCACCCATGCTTCGCCTCTACCGCCTCCCTCCCCAAGAGAGGGCAGGCGGGAAAGAACAGCCCTGGGGCTCCGGGGTGCGATGGGAATGGCCTGCGAACTGCAGCACTGGTTAAATTAAAGAAACAAACAAGAAGCACAAAAATGGGGCCGGGAGAGGGGGCAGTTCCAGTGTTCCCAGGCCCCCGGTGCTTGGGTAAACGTTGCCACTTTTAGCTGCTGGGCTTTCCCCAGGAAGCCCCTTCTCCTCCACGTCCAAACAGGGGCCAGCGACTCACATCGCTGATTCAAGCCTAGAGAATGGGACTGTGCTGTGTAGATGCAGGGTTCGGGGAGGCCCCTGGAGGCAGAGTCCTCGCTCCCTTGCTCTGGGCAGGGGTGAGGGGCACCAAGCACCCTCCTTGTGTCCTCCGCCAGGCCCCTACTCGTTATTGCTTGAAGCTCCATAGTCCTTTGCCCATGGAGCAGGAGGAGAGGCAGGAGAAGGGCGGCGGAAGGATCTGGTTTGTGACTAGACTCCGGGGGCGTGGGGGCAGGGGAGAAGTCCACGTGAGCCCCAAGTCCAGAGGGTTCCGGTCCGGGTCTGAGGACATCAGGCCACCTCTCACTGCCGGCTGGCCTCGGCTTCCACTTTCACGCTGCTTCTGCGGCCCTCCACAAGTGCAGGGTGGGATCCTGGGGCAGGACATCGGTCCAAAAGCCCTTCCTCGAACTCTGCAGGGAAGCGGGGAGGAGGTTAGGAGGCTGTGGGGGTGGAGGCTGCAGAGAGCAGAGACTGGGAGCCTAAGCAGGGGGGGCTGATAGGGGTGTGAAGGATGAGCCCCATGTGTACTGAACTACGGCCTCCTGCCCACCGCAGGTATTACGGAGGGGAAGTGCCAGGCCCCGCATTTGCGTGTGGCCCCCTCCCCTTTCTGGCTGTGTGTGGCTCGCTCTCTGTATAGGTCTCTGTTGTCTCCCGCCTCCGTTCAGCTGGAATTTCTCGTTCAGGCAGGAGCTGCTGCGGGGGCGGCTTGGCTCTGACCTCTCCCCCTCCCCCCTCCCTATGCTTTGCCTACCCCCACTCATCCCTCCCTGGCCCCCTCCCAGAACCCACCCACCTGATCATGGCCCCCCAAGTTTCTGGGAAGCCAAACCAGGGGAATACAGGAAACCAGCCTCGCAGCTCCTCCCCTAAGAGCCCCCCTCCAGTCCCCGCCCCCACTTCCCACCCACGCACAGTTTAAAAATACCAAGCCAGGGTTGGTGGCTTTATCTGCTGCGTCACACTCAGCCCAGCAGATGCCCAGCCCTCGGCCGGCCCACTCCCCTTCCCCCATCCTCACACAATGCATCATCCCCCTTTTGGCTCCTCCAATTCCAAGCTGGACAGCCCCACCCCCCAACTCCCAGCCTGCCCCCACCCTCCCACCTGCTCTGGTCAATGTCAATGTCAAGCTCCCCTTCCTGCCCTCCACTTCCCCTTCCAAGTCCCCATTAGGGTCCAACCCTCCCCACGGGGAATGGCCTGCAGGGTCCTCCACGCCTCAACCCAGGGTCTAGTTGGCCAGAGCTTGGCCCCCCACGACTGATTGCCATCTCTGGCCATGAGATCCCTCTTCCTCCCGCCTGGCCCCTGGGCCCACAGGGCAGCTGTGTGGGTGCTGGGGGACAGCACTGCAGGCTGCCTCACCTGCGAGAGGCGGCTTCGCAGGCACACAGGGGCTGAGGCGGCCTACTCGATCGTGGGAGACAAGGCGGGCCAACCGCAGCCCCTCATCCATCAGGGTCTGCTGCAGGATGTGGCGACTCCACAGCCCATGGGCTGGCAATGCCAGAGGCAGGTCAGCAGGGGGCGGCGTCAGCCTTGGGCATGACCCCACAGCTGTGGGCATGGGCATGGGTCAGATAAAGGACTGCAGCCAACTGAACCCCCTCCCTCAACCTCACAGCCAGACCCCTAGGCCCTTATACCCCCAGACCTCCCACTCCTGTGCCAGGCAGCTGCCTCCTGGCTCTCTCCACCCCATTCCCTTCAGTGTGTGGACTGAAGTATTGCCCTGCCCACTCACCCTGCAAGTGCCCATCGAGACTCTCTCCAGACAGGCTGGCGCTGTCTTCCTCCAGGCTGGGGCGGTATGGGGGTGCATAGGACTCAGGGCCTGGGGGCGGCTGGATTTCAGGGTGACTCTGCTCTCCAACCTGTGAATACCCCAAGGGGGGAGGGAATGAGGATACAGCAGGGGGGCGGGGGTTGGGGAAAGCTTCCATCCCCTCTTCTCACATACTTCCTGGAGGACCCACCTCCTGTTTCAGCTTCTTCAGCGGGGGGCCTCCCAATTCTTCAGGGTGAATCCTGAAAAGATGGTAAGTTTTGAAGAGGTGCAGGATGGGGGTAAAGGGTAGCACATGATAAACAGAACACAGAATTTGGCCAGGAGCATATGGTACTTTATGGAGACCTCACAGGAGCTGGCTGGAGAGGAGGCTCCAGTTCAGGGCACTACCCTTCGGCGGGGTGGGTGAGGGTGGGGCTGTGTCTAGGGAAGGCCGGAAGGAAGGGGCTATAATTCGGACAAGTCCACAATGCCAAAGGCAGGATGTGAAGGTGACTGGGAAGCAGGCTTAGATGTGCCCGAGTGGGAGGTTAGGCCATGATCATCCATCTTCTGGGCAAGGTTCCAGTCTAGGACACCTAGGGGAGGAGGGTCTCACCTGGAACCCTTTAAGGAGGACAGGTAGGTGCTCTCTCGGGCCACTTGGCGGGACAGAGAGAAGAGCTCCACCCTTCGCAGTAAGAGCGTGTTGTCCCTCATGCAGAACTGGGCAGCGGCCTCATTGATGGTCAGCTGTGGAGAGGGGGCAGCCAGAGCAGTCAGATGCCTCACCACTGCCAGGGCCTTGCCCTCGATCCCCTTGCCCGCCCTCGGAGGCTCATACCCTGGGACACTTGTTTTGTTTTTTATGTTACACAGGACTTTCTGAGAGAGGGCGGAGGACAGCACCCCATGTCTTAGGAATAATTTAGGGGGGCCTCCTTCATGCCTATGGTGACTCAGAGCTGGATGGGGTTCTGGTCTCCAGCTCAGCTGCCCTCTTGGTTTAGGATGGACATGTGCGGCAGCTGGGGTCAGGGTATGGGGGAAGGGAGGGAAGGGTAAGGTCTGGGAGCCAGGAGCAACCCTGGAGGCAGCACCTCATGCAGGCTGAGCTGCTTGCCCTCGCGCCTCTTGGAGTCGAAGCGGCCGTAGATAATGCTGTACTTCCGAATCTCTTCTTCCTTCTGGTTGTCACCATCGTCCATCTCAAAGATGTGCCCCACGCTCCGGGCCAGTTTCTTGTTCAGCTTTAGAAGGGAGGTCACCTCCCCAGCGTCCCCTCTTGGGAAGCTCCGGAAGATCCTCTCCACACTCTCTACCACCATGCGCACCATCTCTGGCTCCAGTCGGTCTGGACCACCCCCGGTCCCTCCTGCTGCTAGCCCACCAGCCCCAGTCCCCTCAGGAACTCCTCCCCCCGCAGGTGGAGAAAATGGGGGAGAGCCAGCTTCCTCTTCTCCACCCGCCCCGATGTCCGACTCTGGAGTGTTCCGGCCTGGCCAGATCCGAGGATCCCCTGCCCCGGGTCCCCCCGGCAGCGGCGACAACTTCTCTCCAAGTTCCAGGGGACTCTTGGGGCTAAAGCTGCGGGCACTACCCGCCTTTTCCCCTGGGCTGCCATGCCCGTTGCTCATGCTCCCTTTCCGGGTCCCTGCGGTCTCGGAGATCTTGAACAGCGGGATGCTGGAGACGGGTACGGCAGGCACTGGCTGGCTGAAGAGCCCTGGATTGGTGGCCCACTCTCTCAGTGCCTTCTGCAGGCGCCGGACATGGAGGGGCTTAGTGGCCATGCCCACGAGGGCCATGATCTCCAGGAACTCCTCCTCCCCCGCCTCGCACAGCTGCTGCACGTCGTCCCCTCCCTGCTGGATGAAGGTCTCATAGTAGGAAAGGAGGTTGGCACGCTGCAGGACCCGGTACAGCTGCAGCTCCCCCAGCGTGCGAGGCAGTGCCATGGCTTGAGCACTGGGCCTGAGGAGGAGGTGCACAAGAGAGAGGCAGAGTGGGTACAAGTCCCCCTGCTGGGTACCAACCCATCTCCACAGCTGCCCTCTCTCTCTTGGCTCTCTTCCCTTCCCTTTTCTTCAATGCTCTATCCACCCAAAGCCCTGACTTAGGCACCGATCATGAGAACCAGACACTCACTGATCAGAAATAAGCCAGTGACGCTTTGGTCAGAAGTACCCAAAGCTGGGGCCTGGGAATCAAACACTCTTAGTCTCCATCTTTAGCTTTTACCTTTAGGGCTTGGGCAAAGAACATTGGGGCCGCCCACCTGCCAGCACACACGGGGGTAGGGGGGGTGGGGGGGGTGTTGGAAACTCTCTGGGCCAGAACACAGATTCCACCTTACACTCTCCCTAAGTACTCAGAAGTCTGAACACTGCTTCAGGTGACAGCCTAGAGAAGGTGAAGGAAGACCCGCCTCTCCTCTCCATAAGGGGCAGTGGGGACACTGCTGGCTTGTGTCCACTCCACTCCTGCGTGACATCCTGTCCAGGTAGCTGAGAGGGAGGGGTGTGGCCCCTTCCCTACCTTTTCCCACCAGTGAGGGGTGGGGAACCCTGTTTTTCTCCCTTCAAGTCTTTCCCAGAGCTTAGGTGGTCTTATTAACGCTCCCTCCCAGGCTGCCCAGCGGCTTTCAACGGGACCCTTCTCCTAGTAGTGACCTCCTCCACTTGCTGGCTAGGTCCTTGCTTAGGAAGAGGAGGGGCGCCTCAATTGTTCTGCTCCGGGGCCTTTCCGCCCCCACACACTCCCACAGTAGTAGCGTCTGTGGGCGAAAACCGCCTGGGGGCTCCTGCCCACCTTCCACTCCCTCATTTTCCACCCACATCTTCCAAGTAGACTGGGGAGCCACTCCCGGCGGGCGGGGCTGCACACCGCCCCCCACCCCGACCCTCCCCACACGGTGAATAAAGAAAGGGGCGGAAATGGGAAAGGTGGCTGCGTCTCGTGCCCCCGAGCTCTAGGACCCGTGCTCCGTGCCAATGCCACTCAGAGCCAGCCTGGCGGCCCTTCTTTCCCGGCACTCCCTCCAGCCACCTCGAGTCTAGGGCTTCCCTAGGCGCCGGGGGGCTCCCACGTTCTTTGTGGGGGCTCGCATTGCCTCCGGATCCCTGCCAGGTCATGCTCATCCAGTAAACGGGGGAGGGGCGCCAAGTATAACTCTCAGTCACCTTCGCCAGTTCTCAGCGGCTCCGGGAGCCCCTCGTTAGAAAACTCACCCCCTTTCCCCATCGGCCTTCATCCCCTCCCACCCTATCTCACTTCCCCTCGTCCGCTCCACCACCTCCGGACCCCATTCCCGAGTCGGGCTCCACCCATCTCCATTACCCACCGCTTCCCTTGGCCCACTAACTTGAGTCTGGACTGCGGGGTCCGGCGGGCGCTGTCCCCTCCAACTGGCGGGTGCTCGGCAGAGGGGGAGGGCGCTCTGTGCATTGACGGCGGGAGACCGCCCGGGCCGCCCACCTCGGTGCCCAGCGCTCCGCACCGAGTACGAGCTGCGTTCTTCCCGGTGCGCGAGGCAGTGTCCACCGCTGTCCGGGCTCCGTCCCTCCCTCCACGTCTCTTCTCTCCGAGACGCCGAGCCTCTGTCTGTGCCGCGGCCCCCCCACCTCCCCGGCAGCGCTCGCCGCCTCTCCGCGCCTCCGCCCCCGCAGGACGCACGGGGATTGGGGCCCGGCGCTGCGCTGGCAGCCGGGCGGGCGGAGGGCGTGGGCAGAGCCGGGGGCGGAGGCGGGGGGCGGGAGCCCGGGACCGTCGGCCACGGAGCAGAGACGGAGAGGCGGAGACGGGGGGGAGGGGGAGAGCGGTGTGGAGGCGGGGACTCAGAGCCCGGGAGCCGAGTGGGGGACCGAGGTGACCGCGGCCGGGCTGGGGAGGGCGGGCTTGGGGACACAGCGGGCGGGGCGAGATCGCGCCGTGCCGCCCACGCCGGATGCACAGCCGGCCCTCTCCGCGCCCACGTGCCCACGTGAGCGCCCCGCCGGCGACATTCCTACACCCCCACCACCCTCACCCCTCCGAGCGAGAGCGGTGTTTCTCCACCGCAAGAAGGTACACAAAGACACCGAAGCACACCGGCGGGCGTGCGAACGTGCCGAGACAATTCCGCGGACGCCCGGGGGCCCACACTCGGGGGGCCGCGAGGCGCAGTCGGTGCGACTGTGGGAGAGCCGGGGAAAGTTGGCTCGGGCGAGGGTACGCAGCTTCGCGCCGCCTGCGTGCATCCGACGGTGAAAGGTGTGCGCTTGGGCAGCGCGGGGCTCGCTCCGCAGGAACCCCTTCGATAGAGATCCCAGCGCCCTTCCCAGCCCTTGAGGAGTAATTTCGGGGGGACCGCACTGGGGAACCCAGGCCTTCTCCATCTGGGCCTCCGAAGTTTGGGAAACCGAGAACGGAAGGCCACCACTTAAAGGTTCTGTTTCTTAGTCGCATCCGCGTTTCTTAGCTCCCCGGGTCGGGCCGGAGCGGGAGGAGGCTCCCTGCCCTCCTCTACTCTTCCGCGCATTCCGTCTTCTGAGTAGGGGGACCACTCTGAGAATTGTCTATGGCAGGTGGGATGGGTACTAGGGGACGTCTACTAGGGGACCTCGCTGGAGAACTGCAGGAGGCTCCCATCCGACTTGGCTCCCCGTCGAGGCGCTAGAGGGAGGAGCGCCTTAAAGGAGTTAGGGCCCCCGTCCCCACCCACTTCTTCCTCCTCCTCTCCCTGTTCCTCCCAGCCCCATCTGGTTCCCATTTCGCTCCCGCCTACGTTTGGGAGGGGCGGGCAGCAGGGGGCTCTGAAGGCCCCGCCCAGTGGCTCCAGGCTCCGTAAGGGGTGGGCGTGGCGGGGAGAGGCCAGAGGCAAGGTTCCCCCGAGCCGACAACTTCAGCCTCGCCCCACCATTCCGCACTTCTGAGTGGCCTAGAGCCTGGCTGGGCGTGGGTGGCGTGGGCGGCGGCTGGTTTCTACATTCCAGCCCAACAGTGGGACCTTTCCGTCCCCTGGTGGCGGCTGGGGGAGCGGGGTGGGTTACAGTGGAGTAGTAGAGTCGATAAACTTAGCCTCTTCATTAACTGCAAAACTGTCTGAAGGGTATTAGGAGCGAGTTCCTTCCACCAAATCCCCATCCCGCACCTGGTCAGCGTGGCTAGACTGGTTCCCTCCAAGCTCCTTGGCTTTGTGTGTGGGCGGCTCCCCCCACCCCACCCCACCCCGGTTATTTCTGAGCTGGGCTGCCAGCCGCTGGCCCCGGGTTTCCACGTGCCCCCTCCCTCTCCCTGCCCACGCTCCCCGTGACGCACATCCTCCGCCCACGCAGCCTCTGCTCCAGGCGCCCCCCTCCCTCCCACCCGGCCCCTCGGGGCGGTGCTGAGCCCCCGGATCTGGAGGGAGATGCAGGCCGGGAGGGAGTAGGGCGTGAAGCCAGAAGGCGGGAACTTAATGGGTGCCGGGCCGCCCGGGTCCTGGAAAAGAGGGCGGGGAGGAGCCGATCCTGCGCCCTCCACTCTCAGGCCTGGGGAGGGTACTCGGCGCGAGAGGAGGGGAGAAAAAGCCCGCGAACTGCGCTTGAGAGTGAAACTCCAGTGTTTACATCTTTGTTTCTCAAGGTTTTCTTTGAGGTTCAGATGAGAGCCTATGTAAGAACTCCCGGTAAATTGTAAGATGCTAAGCAAATTTAAGACGCGATGCTTCTGTACCCTGAGACTGTAAATTTATGTTTCTTTATATTTGTGTAGCTGTGTCTCTTTTTCTCTGGGTTTGTATTTGAGAGTCTCTGTGTGTGGATTTAAAAATACGTGTATTTTTTAAGCCATTGACTTGTCAGGCCTGGGGCCAGGGCACCCCCGCAGCGGGAGCTACTGAGACGCTGTTCTCTCCCCTCCCACTTCCATCGCCCCCACGCCCCACCCACTCTCGTCCGCCCGAGAACAAGGAATTCCCAGCCTGGAGAAAAAGGGAGACAAAGAAAAGCCATGAGACCATGAAAAGCCATGAAAAAAACAGACGAATGACAAAAAGGAGGTGGGACCCGGGGTGGCTTTGTCTCCCTCCGGAACACTTCCCAACCTGATTCTCCTGGCCCCTAACTTTTAGCAGTTTTCCCATAGGCCCACTGAGCAGAGCGATTAATATTCCCCTTGTTGTCTACATCGGCCCTTCTTCGAAGATTTCCTCCAGGGAAGACAACGGGAAGCAATCTCCTCAGTCCCCCTTTTCCAGGAAATGGTGGAAAGAAAAGGGGAAATGTGGGAGGGAGAGGAGGTAGCTGACTGAACCGCCGGAAGATGGTCTCTCCCCATGACGCGTTTTTGTTTATCTAGCAGGTTGAGCTACGCACTCCTTTTCACCAGACCAATACTGACTTCGAGGTTGCCAGCTGGCCTCAACACTCACCTTCCTGGACTCTCCCTAGGCGCCCTGCCAGCCACACCTCTAGGCAGAATTCCTCCAACCTGGGGTGGAGGGTGGGGGTCCTCACTCTTGATGTAAATTTTCATTGCAGCTAGTTACCCCCATAGCCCAGGACCCCTCGGATCTGGTCGGGCCTCACTCTGAATGAATGAATTGGTGATGGCATTTACAAGGTGGAAGCAGCTTTGAAAAGGGTAATTGGTACTCCCAAAGGGCCTAGGCTTAGCAAGACTGGTTTACCACACAGAGAGGTTTGTTTTCCATGTCTCCTGCCCCCATCTCCACCCTCACTGAGGTTTCCAGTGAATCACTCAAGTTTAGCTCCTTGGCCTTATAAAATGCCCACTATTCTGGTAAATGAATTCACTCCCAGGGGTCAAAAGAAGACTGACCGTTTGCCTGGTAATAGGAAGACAGGACCAATAAGTCAAGATTCTTTTCGGTTGTTTTTTCCTCCTATGGGGGAGCTTCAAAAAAGTTCACGGAGGGCTCAAATAAAAAGTAAATGCTTAGAAAATGATGGCAACATATGTATAAATATGCTTGATACAACTGATGTATGGATTATTATAGGAGCTGTAAGAGTCCCCTCCAATGATCTTTTAATAAAATTTTTTTTAACAGTTCATGGAATAACACCATGATCCTTTCATTTTCCCACAAATGGTCTTTGAAGCCTCCTTCTGTGGGTGTGGGGGGTATTGGTGTTCAAACTGGGCCTTTTGCTGGAGGTAGTTCACCATTCCCAGACAAGTAATTCTTACCATTGGATCTCACAGGTTCAGAGGGGAAATAGTTTCATGAACAGAAACTGACAATCTAATGCAATCCTGGGAGGACAGACAGTGACAGAAGTATGGATGGCAAGTGCTCCACTCTCCCTGGAGTGGTTAAGAACTGATTTAGACAGGCACCTAGGAAGAACGAATGGGAATTTTCCCTAGGAGGGACAGTGGCCTCAGAGAGATCAGTATGTACAAAATGCACGGAGGTCTGAAACAGACTGATGTGTTGCGGAGACTGGAAACGGGTTTATTCCTGCTGGAGGAAGGAACGCGGGTGGTGAAAGCGTTCAAGGCTTGGCTGCTGGTGAAAAGCTGATGCCGGACGATGTCTAGTAGCTCCCCCGGAGAAAGACCTGTGGATTTGCTCCTCTAAAGAGTACGGCGGCCGAGAAGCCCAGCAGTGTTTCTAGACACGTGGCAGGGGTGTGAGTCAGAAATCGACTCAATGGCATTTAGAGCAGCAGCACTACTAGAAGAGGAGTGGTTAGGAATGAATTTAGGAAGGTGGGCAAGGTCATTCCATTAAGGAGATTACATATCAGGCACTCAAGTTACAGAGGCAGCAACAGTGGACCCTCGTGTACCAATGGTGGTAAAGATGGTGCAGAACCAGGCAGCATTTTGGTTTCTGGTGCATGAGGTCACTGTGCGTTGGAGTCCACTCAACAGCACTAGCCACAGGCCAGTGTGTCGCAAACCAGGTCAAAGGATTGTTTGTTTTTTCCTGTTTTAAACATTTTTTCAATCCATTGTGGTTAGGCGTCGTTGAGACAGTTCTCAATGATTGGGGCCCTAGGCAGGATAGGATGAAGCACTGCCTAGATCTGTGTCATCCTCACAATTGCTACTAGGCTTGAGCCCCTTGCTGGAACCACGGCATGTTAATCCATCATCTTCTTGCATGACGTTTCTCTCCAGGGACTGGTCTCTCTTCATGACATGCACGCAGTACATGAGATGAAGTATCCTTATTCTCACTTCTAAGCAACAGTCTGCCTGTTCATCTTCCAAGACAGATTTATTCATTCTTCTGACAGTCAAAGGCAGGATATTTAATGGTTTTTGCTAACAAGATATTCTAAAGGCATCAATTCTTAGGTCTTACTGGTACAGAGAGGAACTGGAAACACAGGGAATCCAGGGCGGATGATCCCTACAGGACCAGTGGTGTGAGTGGCGATACTGGGAGC